CAAATTGAGGCTCGGAATGCTTGGAATTTGTGTTTAAAATAGCAGATCACTTGATTTTTTTATGACTGAATGTTTGTTTCTGAATGATGAGAAAAATTCAGAGCCTTAATTATGAACTTTTCTTGCCAATAACACTTGGCAGATGTTAGCTAGTCTTTATTCTTCATCAGTAAAAAGTGAACTCAGATATAAGAATAATGGTAGATGCTCTTTTTTGTTTTTAAATAACAGTACTGGAGGTTGAGCCCATTGCCCTAAGCGTGCTAAGCAAACACCCTACCACCAAGCTACATCCTTCATCCTTATTTTATTTTGGGACAGGGTCTCTTTAAATTGGTCAGGCCAGCCTGTAAGCTTGAAATCTTCCTGCCTTGCTATTGACTTATCCTTCTGAACAGCTGGGGCTACAGGCACATACCACTCCCCCCACATTTCCCCCCTTCTTCTTCTTTCTTTTTTGGCAGAACCGGGGATTGAACTCAGGCCCTTACTTTGGTCAGGGAAGCATTTATTCCACTGAGCCATCTCCCTGCCCCCTTCTTTCTTCTGTGTGTTTTTGAAGGATACTTGAGATCTCAATGCACTGAATAAAAATCACCATGAGATGAATTCAATTTTCCGAATAGAGGAGAATCTGGGGTGAATTTACAAAACTGGCTGCATTTTTTGTTCATGCTGGGAATTGAACACAGGACCTTCACCCTGAACTATATCTTTAGCCTTTTTTTTATTTTGAGACAAGGTCACACTAAATTTCTTGAGCTTGGAATCCTCCTGCCTCAGCATCCTAGAGTGGCAGGATTGCCACCATCTGTTCTCCTATGCTAAGCACTTGCAGAGTTCCACAGAGAGCAGTGACAGAGTAAAAGAAGGGAGGGAAGATGCCAGGCACAGTGGGGACAGCTTCTGTTCTCCAATGTGCTTAGACTGCTCCGATTTGCAGGGAAAATGTTCACTTTATTTTATCTATCAACAGATTCAAAACTGAAAAGAAAGCAGGGGGTATGACTATCTTGAACCCCAAACCTCTAAAAATACAATAGGGGAACTAAATGATATGGTGGTAGTGTTAGGTCGCCAAGGTGGCTCATTGAGAATGACACTGTAGGCTTATCACTGTGGAGATTTTTGAGTAAGAAGTGCCAAATGAAAGCAGTTTAGGCCTCAGGGTAGAGGAGCAAACCCTAATGGATCCCTTTCAGGAAAGCTCTCGTCCGTCCCATGAGCACTTGCTACTTGATTTGTTTCCTCATTTGATCTCCATTTAATCAATATTACTCTAGCGACCGGTTGTAACCTTATTGGATGACCATTGTTTTGTCCCGCCTCACACCCATCCTATGATTTGGCATTGGTTCCGCCTTACCTAAGCGACTATACTTGTAATCTTATTGATTGGCTATAGTTCTGTCTGACCTTAAGCCTGCCTCACCTTGTGACTGCTCAATCAAATACCCTTAAGAGGCGGGGTTGGCGGGCAACCCACTTTCAGGGACTTCTGTCCCTCTCAGACAGAAGTTTTTTTCCCCCTCTCAAAAAATTCTTCTTACTCTTAAAAAACAAAAAAACAAAAAAACAAAGCAATTTAGATAGGATGAGTCCATTTTTGTAAGAAAAATGTTGGAAGTATATCCAATAGAATTTTACCAGTAGTTATCTTAAGGCAAAGAAAAATGTTAGATTTCTGGGGTTTTTGCTTATGTTTTCCAGTATTTTCTTTTATTATCCATGAGATTAAAAAAACCAAAGAGCCACTTATTATTTTTAAAAGCAAGTACAAGTAACACAAAGAGCATATGGCTGTCATCTCCCGTGGTTTATTTTAAAACATATCCTTTATTTGTTTAGGACACAGTGTCACTATTTCGACATGAGCATTGGGTACACACAAAAATCATTTATATGCTGACACGATTTAGCAACACACATTTGTAGGACGCAGTATTTACTGTATGATTATTCCTCCAAATAGTAGCTATTTATGGTAAGGGAATAACAGACACCAAAATAGCTTCCATTATAAATAACTGGCAGTCACTATAGTAACACTCTATGATAGGCACTATTGTTGTCCAAGTGATTACAAAATTACTTTTACTAATCTGAATGTTTTGTAGCATATTATTTTAAATATATGTGAAATATTTAAAATATGAGTCTTAAATATTACTTTAAATATATTACCTTAAGTGTGATTTGGCTATAAATTTCCTCTTTCCAACCAAAGTTAGAGGATTACTAATATCAAAGCACATTTTTTTTTTTTTTTT